CTTGATGTTTCGGGACCCCACTTTGGGTCCCGACCCCAACTTTGGGAAACACTGAATTTTATTTTGTGCTACTTTTAACAACTCAAACTTAAATATGAGACAGAAAACTGTGTTCATAGTCAGAAAGGCAACAGTTTGGTTCTTACCTTTGGTACTTTCCTCTGTCCATTCATGCTTTTCTGGTTCCTTCCACTGCCACGCTCCACACGCACCTCGTTTTTTCTTCACAAGAAAAGATTTAGGCATTTTGTTCAATTTGTAGTAATATACTTCTTTTCTTTTTTTGCTTCTCGGTGCTACGTTCACTCGTTGATCCAGGCTTGTTGATGTGATCTGTTACTGACCAGATTTTCTGTTACCCATCATTCCTCGACAACATGCAGGTAAAGTGTTTTAGTAAAATCACGACAGTCGTTTGCATAACTCTCCCCGGGGAAAGGATATGGTTTAAAGTTGGGGTGGGGTGTGTGCGCAGTAGTGCAGTAGGAGGACACTGTTTAGACAGCAGTACACCTGTGCTGACTGTGCGTAGCCAACATTTTAACTGGCCATCAATTGGTTTTGCATGTCAGGTAGTGAGAATCCAGGGAGCTCCTCATTCAGGTAGCCCCTGACATGCAAATTTAGGCCCAGAGCCGATCCCTGGCACCAGAGACAGGGCACAGTTTGAGTAACAGGAGCAAATACAGTGAGGCCACAGCCTTAACTGCTAGGTAAATCAGCCTTTTCTTGTCCTTTTTAGACTTTTCTATTGTAGTTGTTTGCTAGGATTATGAACTTTGCAGTGCATAAAAAGTCCTTTCACTCACTATGAATGGAGTTTAAGCACTTGCAGTCAGTTGCAACAGAACAAAGAATGTGATTTCACTTTCTATTCTTCTTTTTGTTGTGTTATGCTTGAAAAAAAGAGTTACAATACATTTATGTGCCCAAAAGTATCAGATTGCAGGTGATTCAACCAGTTTAAAGGAATATTATTTTATAACTTGTAGTTCTCTGGAGTTAACAGAGATTTGGAGAACAGCAGCAGGTTCAGTAGTAAAATCAGTGTCCTTGTTTAAATGTTGCTCACAGGACTGTGCACAGGAAATACAAATGAAGCTTGAGGCTAAAGCCAATCATGCAAATTGTAATAGAGGTTACAGAAAGAACATCAGCAGGCCTGTCTTATGGTCACATACTGTATTAGTTTAACGCTCAACTTTTTCAATAATTTGATATTTTACAGCCGTTATGATAAACCAGCAACATACTTATTCTGTTGGTGAATAGCATTAACTTAACCTCCACTACTAATGTAAAAAAACATTGTTTTTCATCAGGACATGTTCTTTAACTTCAGATAAACATGTTAGCAGGACAACTTTCTTCAAGCTCCAGGCATTTTTCTTTTATAGACTGGACAAGAGTAATAATGTATTATTAAGATGTCCAAAAAAACAAAAACAAAAAAACACTTTGGACATACAAAAATGTTTAGAACTCAAAAACTATTCAACCTAGGAGCTTGAGATTTGTTGTTCAGCTCTGATGAAGGGCCGTCAATCGAGCTCACCAATGAGCACCCACACCTCCTCTGGACCTCCACCCAAGAAAATAATTCACTTGTTCATTTCATTTCATCATTTCATTTCATTGAAAAATAAAATAAAACAATAATAAAAATAAAATGAAATACAAAAAAACTAATAAAATGAAATAAAAGGCAGCAGAAAGAAGAAAAACATCTTATATCTGTGCCTTTCCTCCATCAAACGAATTTATTAATAATAATCTTTACGCACCAAAACAAAATAAAAAAGTAAGTTTAAAAGAAACCATCAAATTTTTCTTGAACTGGTTACTTCTGAGTTCTGGTGCATTGCTGTGGGTATCATATACACTACTGCTATGCATCTGGTTTTTCTCTAGTTTTAGCTTTTCTCCACTGGTTCCTTTAGGAAAATCTATGAAATTCTTATTTCTAATATAAAACACTCTCAACAACTAATATCCATCGTATTTTTTAGTTCTTATTGTTACGTGTCCTGATGCATCTCAGTAATCTAGGTAGAAATATCAAAAAGATAAAATAAGTAGGTCGTCTGGATGAGTTCTTCTTTAATGAAACGTTTCGTTTCTCGTCCAAGAGACTTCTTCAGTCTGAGGAGTTTCAGGTGAACTCAGCCCATAGACTTGAATAATTTCACTAGACTGAGCCCCGCCCATTTACCGTCCACTGGTAGTGTCTGTGACATCATGGAGGAGCAGAAACACCAAACAGACAACAGCTCACAGCAAACATAGAAACTAATAGATAAACAGCAGCTGAACTGGATCTGTTTCACAGATTATCTGTCATGTTTTTACAATAAATTAATAATTAATCATGTAAAACAGCAGATTTATACCAGAAAATTTATAATTTATAAGTAACAGTGATCTAAACCAGACCTGAAGTCAGCCTGTAACTTAGACTTCAGCTAGTAATAAAG